AATGTTTCTAACTGACGGAGTAATGATAAATTTTCCCCTAAGCAGACTTACTAAGCTTACTTTTGACTTCCACGGGGCGATCGCTGACCACGGGCCTGGAGCGGGAGCGGAACGTAGCGACTAGAAAACCAGACGGCGGTGGATCTGTCCTGGCCGGCTCTTAGCTAGTCATCTGGCCAAAACCGGAAACGTCGAACTTCTTCACAACTTGAGAGGTCCTGCCAGACTATACGCTCGGCTGTGCATCTCACAAGAAAAGGATACTTGGTCATTGCGGCCATTCATAATGGTTTGTATATCAAAAAATGCGCCTTTTAATGCTGTAGCTAATACTGTCTTCCATATCTGCGAATGCGAACCGATAATTTGGATGGAGTTATGATTATTTTTCCATGACTAAACTGCGTTACTGCGGAGGGTCAAAATCATCAATAAAAAATTTTCTTTCATTTTCATATGCTGAATATGATTTAGATAGGTATAATACAACAGTATACCTTTTGAGATTCTCTTTAATGGCTTCAAATGGGAACTTAGAACAAATTTGGTGTTTTTAACTACACAAAAGTACGCAAATTTTTTACGAAAAAAGTTCATAACTTCCTTCAGAAGATCGCTTCGCAGATATCGAGCACAGATTTGGAATCAGCGCTTCGAGTTGTATCTTACAATATACATCGAATTCCAAATTTCAAAATATACCCACCAATATTCCTTCAAAACTTAACGATTCCGGAAACGTCAAATGTTTTCAGGACTAGCACTGCTCTACTGGAAAGTGACAAAAAAAATGCAAAATTCCAGGCCAGTCTCAGAGGTCGGTTCCGAGTACCTTTGCAATGGCTCGCAAAAACAACGATTCTCAAAATATACCCACCAATATTCTTTCAAAACTTAACAATTCCGTAAACGTCAAATGTTTTCAGGACTAGCACTGCTCTACTGGAAAGTGACAAAAAAATGCAAAATTCCAGGCCAGTCTCAGAGGTCGGGTCCGGGTGCCTTTGCAATGGCTCGCAAAAATTATTTATTTCGCATTCTAACTAGAATTGAAAAATGTGTGACACCTCTCAATTCTAATTAGAATGCGGGGTACCATCACATCGAAATGACCATGGTCGGTAGTAATCTGGTCGAAACTCCGAGTTTGAAACTCCGAGTTTCCGCTTTTGAAACTCAGAGTTACGCTGGTTGAAACTCTGAGTTCCGCTTTCGTAATTCCGAATTCTAACTCTCAAGCTCGGAGTTTTGCTTTGAGGAGATGTTAAGCACTTTGCTGCAAAAGCGACGTTAAAGTAGGGGCTCGAACCTGTACGGTTTAGCGTAAAGTTCCTATCACTAAACCGCTAGACCATGACACACCCATGAACCCTAAAATTGCTTTGCCATAATGTACTCGCTCATTCCATTAACGCTTAACAGGTCAAAACAAGTTATACCAAAGCCTCACTCATTTCCATTTCTATCGGGCAGTGATGGTTCATCACGAGGATTGGTCTTTTGCGCAGCTGAAAGCTTCAAACAATAGAGAAAGCGGATGACATACGCCATGATAAGAATTGTCTATTAGGGTTTGCGCACAGAATAAATCCTCCGGGCAAAGTTTGCCCTTCCATGATTTCGCCTTACTTACCGTAAACCTACCGTAACACCTCTACATGACCCCATAGTGAAAAATGGGTACCATACGCGTGATTAGCGCACCGAATAACCCCCTGGGCCAAGTTTTTACAAAATTTCAAAATTTTGCAAATCACTGCGCACAAGGATACCCCCATCATGCCTGCTTAAACTACGAGCAAAATGTACCCCGGAGGCTAGCTGCTCCTCTTCTTTTGCGCACTATTTCTCTTTCTCTGACCAAACTCAGAGTTATCTCTGAGTTCCTTGATAGACTGGAACTCGCACCAAACTCAGAGTTATCGCATGCGCTAGTTGCGCGTTTGGTGGCGCTGTTTCTTGTGCAGGACGATTTGGACAATGTTGCGCTACTAGGAATAAACTACGTGTTAAGGAGAATCCTGCCATATCATCGCTTTCCGGATTTGATCTGTTTAAACACCTATTAAGGGGGTCAAAAAGTTGCGCGTTAGCTCAGAGATAACACAGAGTTAACTCTGAGTTATAACTCTGAGTTTCGATAGGTTTAGACCCAGATATTTTGATAACTACAGTTACTTCCATAAACATATATATGTCTCATTTTGCCCTTCAGATTTCTCTATATGGTTGTGTTTATTTACACTAGCTGGCAAACTCGGTTCCGCCCGGTCTTGTTAATGATATATTCGTAATCAGCATGCTCACTTACCCCCCCCCCTGTGCCAACTCCCAGCCCCGTGGCTCGGACTTTTTGAAAAATCAATCAACCGTCCGGCCCTGTTCAAAACACTGTAATAAAGGTTCTATCCCTACCCCTGTACAGCCTTTCCCTGTGCCTACTTCTATACTTCATTTCCCGTTCCCCTCTGTTGTTTTCGAAATCAGCATGCCCACTTACTTCCCTGTCCACTTACTTTTAACTTTTCAAAATAGAAAATAACATAATCTCCTTCCTCACTGAGGAGTTCCGGGAAGAGCCCGGACTTCCTAATTCCGTCTAAGGGCAGGAACGGAACGGAGCTAGGTTATTTCATTTAGACTTTATATACAACTAGCTGGCTTACCCGGCTCCGCCGTATCCGGACCAAACTTGGCACACATACACTTCGGGCCCCGGCGGGTGTCACAGTCCACTTTTCGTTATCGATCGATGTCGATTTTACCGATTTTTATCGATTTTTTTGCAGAGTTCACCTACAGGGCTAGGCGTTGGCACAGGGGGGGAAGTGAGCATGGGGATTCCGAATGCATCCGAATCGAGCATGCTGATCACCCCCCTTGGGGGTGATCAGCATGCTCGATTACCCCCCTGTGCCAACTCCCAGCCCCCTAGCTCAAACTTTGCAAAAAAATCGATAAAATCGATAAAAGTAATCGATAATCCCGAAAACCAATATTGTATTCGGAATCCCCATGCTCGATTACCCCCCTGTGCCAACTCCCAGCCCCGTAGCTCAAACTCTGCAAAAAAATCGATAAAATCGATAAAAGTAATCGATAATCCTGAAAACCAATATTGTATTCGGAATCCCCATGCTCGATTACCCCCCTGTGCCAACTCCCAGCCCCGTAGGTGAACTCAGCAAAAAAATCGATAAAAATCGATAAAATCGATATCGATCGATGACGAAAAGTAGCCTATGACACCCGCCGGGGCCCGTAGTGTATGTGTGCCAAGTTTGGTCCGGATCGGTTCAGAAATGGAATTTTCTATTCGGAACATACGTACAGACAGACAGACATACAGACAGACAGACAGACATACAGACAAACAGACATTCAGCTTTATATATAAGATTATACCACATTGTCACTTTCGTGTACTACTATTTTGTTTCTATTATTGCGGTAAAAAGACAACTGAAAAAACTTGTTGGACAACCTAATAGAAGAAGTACTTCTTTGAAGCTGGAAGGGGGAAATAATGGCAGATGCAATCCGCTCAAAAAAGCAATACAATTGCGCTGAAATGTTATCTTTCGCATATCCAACTTGCCGTGCAGTTTGGAGCAAAGCAATGTACACAAACAATGACAGTTGAATGCTTAGAACTCAAATAACGACACAGTCTACAAATTGGTCCCGATCGCTCATGTATCAAAGAATCGCTGTATTACCATCCATAAAGCGTGTAGAACAATCAGTGGCGCTCGAATCAGATAATTTTAATGGCTGCGATTCTTTGGAAGTACTCACACTATCAAAAAGAATGGGACTTGTTCTTCTTTGTTTTGAATAAATAGATGATCTATAGCTTCGTCAATCAAGTAAGATTAATAACCTTCAATATAGTGGTGCTCCAAGGGCAACTTTTTCTACATCCATTCTAGATTTATTTTGAAGAATCGTTAAAAACGTGGCTAAAAATAGGAGCCTATTGCACTACGTTTGCAAAATCTGCGAACTCTACAGAATGTTCTACAAAAAACGATTGAAATAGGTTGTGGTGTAACTTAATTTTTATCACAAAGGCATGCATAGATTCCTAGAAGGTCTTTTCAAGACAGCTAAACACCCTTAAGAGCTCAAAAAATTGAAGTAATATTAAACACAAAATGTGTGTGAGGAGCGACGTGTACGTGATGAGCCGGTCTTGCAGTGAATGATGAGGTTTTTGTGATTGCTACTACGGATCATAAAACCCATTTTGTCAACAGAAGCAAATGATAGCATAAAAACTTTACAAAATGTTCCGTCTTCTACTTTAGTTTGAGCATTCGTCAGCAGTCAAATGAAAGGATTGAATTGTTCAGGAGACATTTTTTGGCACATTATTGGAACATTACATCAACATTGGAACATTTAGAAGCATTAGTTGCGTAGATGATACCTAATTTTCTTGGTTTTTGTTTGCGAACAAATTCCCGGAAAGTTGGACGTTTGGTGGTCATTCAATGACATCCGAATGTGAATTCTCTAAACTTCAAAGTTTCAGCTTGCACGATTGATGAACGATTGCGATGACTACCAAATTTCGGTTACCATGCCAACGAGCTCTGTCTGCTCTCGAAAATGAGTGTTGTGAGGTTTCGCACCATCGGCTGCTTCACAGCAAAAAACAGATGTTTTTAAGAAGTGAAAGCGATTTTCTCTTTGCGGCATGACGCCGCTCCATCCAGATTTTGACCGAACATAGTCTTTGGTTCGACGGAGTTGACGGCTAGAAGGCGGACCTTCGACGCCTACAAGGCTGGGGAAAGAAGAACTTAAATACTGCGAAATGGCCGTTGTCATTGGAGCGCGTTTTCATCTCAGAACTTAGCGCTGTGCTCCATTTTCGTAACATGTGTTCTTTTCTTGCTTGAATCGGGGACCTTTCCTCTTTTAGATGTTCTGTACTGTCTCGGTTTTGCTCGTTATTTGTCATTCTGTGATTGTTTCATATTGTTCACTTTCCAGAGTGCAATTCTTGTGGAAAAATGTCTGGTGGAAGCGGCGTTTCTCTGTCGGATCGACTAAACGTGGAAAAAAACAAGCTGGACGAGAGTATCAGAGACTACTGGTATGTTCATTTGTCTTTTTGTCGAGGAAGTGGTAAGACATGGCCAGTTCTCGGCGCTCTTGCTCAGTTTGTCGGGAGTGTTGACCATGCTGGTCGAAACATTATGCTTTGAAAACGTCACTGGGTGTTTACGATGGGTGTACGATGGGAGGCTCAATCAGGAGTTCGTGTTCTCGACTCACTTTCGATTTTACATCACCTAACCACCATTCTTACATGCTAGATTGTTTTATCCTTTTTGCAAAACAACGTTGTTGAAAAAAAAGCAAGTTGAATGAACTCGAAACCGAATTTCTGCTTATCACTGCTGAAACTCGGTTGTAATCAAACTTCGATATTCCGGAATTTTTGTTCAAAACTTTGTTGTTGTTGTTTTGTCCAAGTTTCTGACTTTATTGCTTACGATAAAGCTACCCTCACCACCAAGGATGGTGGTTGAGCAGAAAACGTGGGTATCCATGATAATGTCGAACAACCCTCCCAAACAAGGATTAGCCAAATGTAGTTGAGCCCCCAGCGTCCCCATCGTAACCACCGAAAGTGATGATGTTGTCCAAAAGTCGATATTCGTGGTCAGTAGGCGATAGCCCCCATGGACTGAGTTTGGGCCAAATATACTCCTTGGATATTGGGGTCCTGATATGGAACAGCGCCCAGTTTGCATTTGTATTCCCTTCATCTTTAAAACTTTGTGTTTATCTATCTCAGAAGGTCGTCCAGCGCTTTTTCTTTCTAGTTTCCCATCAACGAGTGAATCCAGCATATTGACGAGTCTTCGATGGTTACAACAAATGCTGCTGGACGCACCGCAGTGTTGGTGTCTCTGTTACAAAGATTTCCTTGCTTTCTCAGCTCAATCCTTTAGGCATGAAATGAACGGAGGCGATTTGGAGCCGGATCTAGCTTACTTTCCCTGCATTGAAAAGGATTGCAAATACATAGGGTCAAACGCCGCAGCACTTCGCAAGCACTATGAAAGATGCGACCCAAGGAGTGTTGATCATAACGAAAATGTTGTTGCCTAGAACTTCGACATGTTAAAATTTTCTCTACTTTCAGTTTATTCACTTATATCGAACGTTTGCGTCATCAACTTTTCAACGTACCACACTGCCATGATTTATTAGGCTCTGAGTTGTTCTTTTTTCTAGGTTGAACGTATTCATTATGTTTGTGGACATGACTTGCTACGTTATCAGTTATTGTAGATCAGGTGCTTTACTTCATGCCATCTATCATATTCTAGGACGTGTTCTGTCTGTTTCTGACCGTTCCGTTTGTTGTTCGATTTGAATAATAGAAAACCAAAGTAAACGCATGTTCGGTGATCCATTCAGCAATTCTATGCAGACAGGAAAATGTGGTGATTAAACCCATCACTAGACTAGGAAGCGTTTACACGAATGACTTCGAAAGAATGAGCGACACTCTTCCACTTTATATTATACAACACAGAAATTTATAATCTCAGATTTCGGTTTCGCAAAGGTTAGGGTCTTATATGACAAACTGTTCACAAATATCATGTTAAATTTGCAGTGTCAGACTATTTTTCCCTCACCTTGATTATCCTTGACTATCCTTTGGAAGTCGCGTTGGATCTAAAGCATGCTTCACTTTAACTGAGGAAGATCACTATTCCACCGCATGATAACACAATCGTAAACAGCATGTTGGAGAAATCCTCATCTCAGGTCGGGAACTACCATATGTATGCAGTAAACACTCCATAAAGGACCCTTTTCCTACCTTCGTAAGCATAATCTAGGCGAAATTCAAGTCCCAGGTCGAAAACGCGCTCCAATGACAACGGCCATTTCGCAGTATTTAAGTTCTTCTGGCTGGGGAATGATCAGAGAGCACGCACGCGAGAGAGACACGGACTGCGCTGCGGGTGCGAACGGTTGCCTTCTAGCCGCCAATCCCGTTGAATCAAAGTGTACAGCGTGTCTTAGATTTGACTAAATTTTGGAACCCTAAACACTGCCAATGATGATGTAACGTAGTAAAAGTGAGTGAAGCAATATCATCTTATATATTGGTATCACGATCCGTTTATACAGCTTAATTCAACCGGAAGAAACTTTTTTGCTCGTTAAAATAACTTACAATCATTATATTCCTGTGGTTTCACAATATTGGTTTATGATTTTTGTATCTAAAATCCAAGAGTTTTCATTCAAGACACAATGATCAAGCTGCAATGTGATCACTATCCGTCCTAGCGAACTTGACCTTTCGCTCTGACTTGATCATGGTTCTTCTCTCGGCAACTACTCATTCTTGCATTATGATGGCATTGGAACTCACCGAGCAATGCCGACTATCACGAACAAAATGTAAACAGTTACTCATTCCGAAAGCTTTTTTTATGTGAAATCGGTGATTTCGCGTGGATGAGACTTTTCGCAGGAAAACAAATGCAAATTTTTCAAGTTTTTAATTTTACCTGGTCTTTACAGTTGCTGTAAGAACAGCAATCATCATCTTTGTGTAAAAATCTAGTCAAATGGTCTGGTAAAACCTTGTCAAATTGACCATTTACGCGACCAATACTTTTTGGCGCCGTTTTTGTAAGTAATGGATTTTTGATCACTTTTTAAGCCTAAGTTCATGGCTTGCACATTTACTTGGCACAAACATCTACGACTCTGAAAAAAGTGGATTTACGGGCCCAATTTTGCGGCCCAAATGCAAAGTGGATCCGTTTGACACGCAGTTTCTGAGGGATCCACTCAACGAATCTGTTCGTGTTTTTGCATGTTGAACTTTCATGCGGGTAGCAGCGCTGTGCAAAATTTGAGCCCAGGAGGTTGGCTGGAACAGGCTCTACGAATTTCGTAACAGACACACTCACACACACACAAAGTCACGTAAACATCCTTAGCCCGTTATTATTATGTAAAGATAGAGCAGAAAATGGACTACACTAAGAAGCTAGAGATCTGTTTCTTTGAATGAAAATACCATGTTCTGTCGGAACTAATTTTACAGGTTCAAAATCTGTTCAACAAATAATCGTAGGTTCCTAATTGGCTTCTCAGCTTTTGATGGTCATTTTTACTACTATAGAATCAATACAGCTGAGGGCCTTTTGTGATTTGTGATCGAAACAGACAATAATCTAACTTGTCCTTGTAGATAAGATTCGAAACAAAATTCCTGATTTTGCAAAGGCATTTTTTATGGGAAGATGAATAAGAATGCGCTTGGTGTTATAGTACATATGAAGGAGGATTGAATTCGAATCACAAACGACAAGCATGAGAAATCCCTCCGTCATATTTCTGGTCTGCTTTCTAACATAAGATGAAATATTTTTTGAAGCTCTAGCTCCTGTTCACTCGCAACTAGTAGAGCAGTAAGGAACGTGTAACGCCTTTAAGAAATTTGTTTGACATTCTTCGTACTCATTTGCTTGCAATAAAATCAATCCCAGAGTTCCAGATAGGGGAGAAAATGCATACGATTTTCTAAAATCACAAAGATTGAATCTTTTCAACATAAGCCAGGATCTGAAATAATATTAATAGTATACGTTGTACTTCAAGAGCTGCTAGAAACCGCATGATTTTCTCTTACCAAAGGTGTCAAACCAATCCAATCAGAAGAGAATCATGCTGAAAATGATCGCGCGAAAAAAGTCGTTAGGGTCAAATGCTTAGATTGAAGCTAAAACTGGAGTCCAATTCTAGGAAAAAATCTAATGCAAAATGTTTTTGCCTATAAGATAGGCTCAATTGTTTTGGATTTGACGTTTAGCTGCTTACTGTCTTGTGGCATTTTGCAAAAACAGCATGGGGATCAATAAGGCGATGTTGAGAAAATTGTAGATATAACCTTATCAATGTACATTAACAGCAAGATTAAGTAATCTGAACAGATTGAATAATCTGCATAACTCTTTTCCAGCCGAAACAAAAAAGTTGCTTCTTGTAGTTTCCCAAAAGGATCCATTTATCTACTCTACTGATTACGCAAAAAAAAGTGAAGTGCAAAAAGGAGGTGCTGGCAATTTCCTCAGTAGGTGCAATCTCACTTTACATTTGAGCAGAGATTTTTATGGAAATTAGTGGTGATTATTTCAAGCTGAATTTGCACCACGCAAGAAATTTGTCTTCTGTACTTAGGAATTGTCTTTTCCCACGTTTAGTGTTGTACTGCTCGTTTCATGCTACACCGCTCTCTCAAAATTGCTAAAGATATCCTATTATTGCTCGTTGTATGTACTACTTTCTTGTTTTCAATTTCTTTTCTGGTCTACTGGCGATCGAATTTTATCTTACACACCGGTGGCGTGCCCAAGATTTCCGTTCGGGGGGGGGGGAAGACACAAAAAAATATTCTGATGAAGGTGCGTGGCGTTAGCCAATCACTCCGAAAATTTTTTTGATATTTTCCCGAAACTTTTGTGGACCCCTAGCCCCGAAATTTCAAAAAAAAAAATTTTTTTCGGGGGCTGGCGCTAGCCACGCCCCCGAAAAGATTTTTATAAGGCTAAATGGAATTATAAAAATTTTGAAAATTATTTTAATTATTTACAAGGTAAACAAGTCACTTGTACATTTTTATAACTCATTTAAGTGACTTTCAAAAATTTCGCGACCCATTCTTAAGGGGGAGGGAGGGGGGGGGGGGAGGGGGAAAGCGCCCACCTCCCCCTCCGTACGCTGCTGTTATACACTAAATTTTACGCAGTATAGGCACAGAGAATACTGTTTTTCAACATATCGAAGACAATGTGACCACATGCTCAGACAATCGCCGGGGGGAGGCGGCCCGCAAACTCGCGTTTTTCTGCAGGCGGTCAGCAGAATTTTGGGGCGTGGCCAAACCTTCAGCGGGCGGCGCTTCCTTTACTGTCTAATGTTCTGCCAGCGGGCAGCAAAACAGAATTTACTGCAGGCGCTCGTCAAATAATCTCTTTCAGCGAGCGCTGGTCAAATTTTCAGCTGGCGCTCGGACGGTTTTAAGCAGTTTCGGGCGTACGCCGAGCAAAGGTGAGACTCTACATAGCAGAGGTGTCATCGATGGTTTAATTACTCTAGTTTGAGGTACTTTCTCTCAGCGGAAAGTACCTGGAGGCTGCGCGGTCCTCCACAAAGGACCGTGCGGCCTCCGAAAATTTAGCATGTTCTCGCGGAAAGTCCGCGAGAATGCGGCCATTGCGCCGCAGCTAATCTGTAGGGAAACCGCGATTGTTCTCCAAGCATTCGCCTAAAATTTCGCTAAAATTCTTCCAAATATCTGCAAGCGGACCGCAAGAAATCAGCGAACTATTTTTCCGGTGCCCGCTTGCCCAAAAATCGCATGGCCGCCTGCCCCCGGAGATCATCTGAGTGGTGGGTCACGGCTTAAATTTTCTCAAAATGACTCCTATGTTGGAATACATCCGTTTCAGAAGTTCGTAACGCTGTGAAGCTTGAAACTGCTTCCACGTTTCTCGGCAGCTCCTTAAAATCACTATAGGCACACGGTAGATTACGCTCTGCGTGATTGTAGCCAAATTTTTCCAACTTCTCCGTGGACGGCATTTTCCTACAAGGCAGGCAACTAAAAATGCGCGCTGTCGTCAACGTGTTGAAATGAGCTGTCTATTATCACAAATCCTTAGCTTTCATTTGAACTCGCTTGCGCTAAAAGTCTAAAAGGGACTGGATGTAAAAGATACTCAAAGCGATAAACATGTTGACGAACGCTTGACACACATTGTGTGTCAGGGCTTGAATTTCATTAGAATGACGATTATCTCGGGATAAGGTCATTTTAGAAGTTTTTTCTTTGTACTAATTCTGGAAATAATAATCATCTTTTGACAGCAATTCAGAGCTACTGTATGTAAAACATTCGATGCAACTGGCTTGGCTTCGGGAAGGCGGGCTTCGTGACCTGATTAAGGCCAAGTAATGATCGGAGAGCACTCGCGCGAGAAAGACGCAGGTGCGCCGCGGACGCGAGCGGCCTAGATTAGGTCACAAAGCCCCGCCAGTTGAATCAAAAGTTACTTAAGATGGTAGTATACGTGATTATATGAAAGGCTTTGGTCCAAATGGCAGACAGCTGCATATCTGCATGGACGTCAATGTGTTAATACGTTGATGACAACATGCGTTTTAGTTGTTGTCTCTTGGGACAATGCTTTCCACGGATAAGTCGAAAATTTGGCTAACATACAGATCGTCAACTACAGTATACGTACAGTAATTCTAGGAAGCAGACGAGAAGCAGAAGAACAATTTGGATTAGAGCGTAAAAGAACTTCTGAAACGATTGTATTTCAAGGTAGCAGTTTTTTCAACAAAATTCAAGCCCCACCATGTGGGTCACGTTGTCTTCGATGTATAAGGAGAAATCAAAGCTAACAGCAGGTAAATTCAAGTTATCTTATCTTACAACCTGCGAGAAGAGCAAAATAGTAAACATGGATAAAAAAGTTGATCTAAACTGTCCACTTTGTTTCGTAGTACAAAGCAATAAAACTGCGGCGCGCTAAAATTGAGCGCACTTGGAAATTCATGAATGGATACGTGCGAATAAAGGTTTACTTGCAGCTGTACAGCGAGATTAAATATCTGTGAGGTCTTTGTGACACTTTCACGCCTAATCAGTGCATTTGAACTGCAACAATACCTTATGATATGAATGCGGCTTAAAAATCGTTCTGCTGTTGTCTAGTGAGGTGAAATGGGCAAAAGTCATGATCCCCTCTGTTCATTCCCCTATAAATAACTTCGTAACAGATCTTGGATCAATGATGAGAGGCTTAGACGTTGTATTAGTGGTAGGTTTACCACCTCTTTTTACTAAGTAATACATGGCTGACTAAGAAAATGTGTAAGGGTTTGATTCTCATTGTTTTATATGTGGTCAAATTCCGCATTAACAGGTGCTCCTTGCGGGCAAAGCGGAAAATGCCCTTGCTGGTGGTGACGAGCTGCGGCCAGGATTACAAGAGGAACAGGCTCCTGGTGCTGTCCAAGCTCAAGGCGGTAGTCCACGGTGCGAAGAGTAATCTTATCTAACACAGGATAAGAGGCAATTACTTGAACCTCGAAATCTACAGGTCTGACGAAGCGTACGGTGATCCTGAGCGGAAGGACTCTATTATTAGGGATGTTGACAAAGCAGTGTGTAGTCAATATGTCGAGTTCAGCAAGGCGGTAGCTGCAAAGATAGAAGTATATATTGAGGTATATGGTGAAGTCAGTGCAACGCTGGTCAGTTTATGGGGCTTTACTGTATTTCGTAACTTCCTAATCAAAATAAAAACGATAGCATATCCTACTCCAGCTGAGTAGTTGGCGGTGCATTGAAGACACATGTTGCTTTCAGTGAACTTAAATTGTTGAACCTCTTATCAAGATCAAAAGTTTTGAGATTTCTTGTCATTAAAAATAGCCACATTTATAAGATGTCATTATAAGATGCTCCACCGACTTAGCTGCAAGAAACCCTATTAGTCTAGTTCCTGACCAATCGCTTAATGGCAATTGCTACTTTTGAGAATTGTTCTCAGGTTAGCGACGACGAGGATTGTAGGATCACGAAAGAGGCATTGCAACTTTTACTAATAATAGAATCAATGATAGAACCGACATTCCCCAGTAATCTATGTTACGTTTATTACGATCCGTGAGTGCACAAAAATGTGGTTTTGATCAGTAATTTCTTTGAGGTAAAAATAGGTAAAAATCATTTTCATTCCAGTGAGGACGAACAATCGGATGCAAATATTGCTGAACAATCGGATGCAGAAATTGCTGAACATCTTTGGGATGATGGTTCCGTATCAGGCCTGGTAAGAGTACCTTTGCTTCCCTAATTATATTGTAAGTCCCTTATTTGCCTCTTGATTCAAGAAAAGTGACTTGAAACGCTAACATTTTTCCCATTTTTTGACCCATTCTTACGCTTTCAGGTCCTTTTGAGTTCAGTCTGCCCCAATCGGGATCAGGCCGAAGCGTCGGCGTAAATTTGCGCGCACGCAGCGTTAGGCGTCTGCGCTGCATTTGCGCACTGTCGGAGTAAAAAGATTGAAGAGGAAGCAGAGAAGCAGGCCGTAGGCGTGACCGCGAAATCAGCGACGCGGACTCCCGCCATGCTATATAATTTTGGCCTGATTGGGATCGGAGCAGATTGTACTCTTGGTTACAGCTTAAACTTGCATTGATCTATAACTTCCATCATGCGCATGAGAAATCTTTTACAGCTACAGGTCGCATTAAAAAAAGTCGACCTGAACCTGAAATATGGATGCGTTGAGCGCAATGGACATGCACTCTGCGTGTTCGCACCCCCTGACGATCAAGTGGACAGCCTTGTAGCAGAAGCGAAACAACGTGCAGAAGAGTTGAAGAAGAAAAATTTGATGTCATGGCCTGTGGAAGGTGCTTATTAGAGGCATAAACCTTTCAAGAAAGATTTAATTTCGAACTGTTCATCCTTCCATTTCTTCAACCCAGCTACTTGCTTGAGTAACAGTTGTAAGGCCCCTACGAACTGTGACGACTCAAGTGTGGTTGTCGCGCACACCCAATCGTGGAAGCCTAATTCGCGGTAACGAACGGTACTTTGTGCTCAGCAATTACTAAAAAAATGGAAAAGCTAGCATGTAAAAGAAAGATGCAAGGAGACAACAGCCAAGCAAATTCGATTGTGGAAATTGAGACCGTTCACTCTCATAATAACTTGTGACCTTTTAGTAAAATGTGTAAGTGCATGAAGCCGAATGTCTTCCCACACATCATGTTGGATCCAATCTTTGAGATTCTATTGGGTGTACCGGCTTTCTTCAATAATCACCAAGTGCGACTCTATGCCGATTTTGGCCCGATATTGATAGCAGCAAATTCTCTTTACAGTAGTTCAAATAAGACTCCATTACAGTGAAAAAATATCACGACGTCTTATATCTAGCATGGTAATAAAAATGTCGACTTAGGCGGCGATAAACTTTGGAAATAGGTTGTATTGGCGCATAGCCGTTTTGAGACCATACTTTCTAGCAGTGCGTAATTGGGATAACGCATCACATTTGTGTACAGCCTTCACTCATAGAAAGCTTTGATTCAAACGTTTTCTTCTCCCATTCTCTCTGAGAAGATAATGGAAGAAGAAAACGTAGTGATTCCCAACTCACAGTTTACGTCTATTTGGAACAGTATAGAAGTGAAATCAGTCGGTGCTACAGAGATTATTGCTTGGAGCATGTATTTAGGCATCATTATTTATCGCGAACATTAGGAAGGTGTTAGAAGGCTCTTCTTTCTTCGCCTCTGAAACACTCTGAGGTATGAGTCCTTATCAGATGCCCAAAGTTTTCGAGAAAAAATTTGCAAGTAATTTTGTGGCTCACTTTATTGGCATCAATCAAGCACAGAGAAATTTTAAATTACCACTTAATGTTATGGTTGCTTGGCAATCATAGTCATTCTGTCAATTCTTTTGGTGTCGCATACTAATTCCTTACAATCCGTAGAAAAGCAAAGCAGTAATTGCTTTTAGCAATCCTGGTTACCCATGGCGCTAATAGAGATTTCAAAATAGAGCTGGCAAAAATGGGAAGGGGGGGGGGGGGAGATGCACGAAATGTGGTACAATTTCATGATGGTAGTATTACAGCTTGCTGGCGTGTTCGACTCTTCACTCCCGTCGGATATCTTGAGAGATTCAACAATTTTTGTTCAAGCACCAAGCTTGGAGGAGCAGACCCCACACTAGAAACTGTGCTAAAATAGTGTATGTCTATCGGTTAGAACGCCTGAAAAATGAACTGCATCACCGATCGGCTTCTAAAGAATGCAGATAGCACATCGACGAAAGCGGTCAATAATTTCAGCCATGTTCTTCATTGTGAGTAGGCTCTCACTTACCTCCATGTATAATATCAATCTCCATCAATTTAGAAGAAAAAGCCATGAATCAACTAATCATACATGTTTTCGTCACCCCTCGGCAAAGTGCATTTCTTGACACCATGCTTGGAAAACAAAGCGATGAAATCAATGTGCACTTCATATCTGATGATGCCCCATCATACACTGTACATAGCTTGAGCACATTTTCATGTACTATTTATTTTGTGAATTCCCCAAGGAATAAGCGAAATGTAGCTGGGGCTGATGGAGAAAATTTTGCAAGTAAAGTTTCTGCAAGTCCCTACCGTCTTTCATGAGCCCTTAGTTCTGTTGATACAAAAAAGTTGTTTTGCGAGCGGGCCAGGTTTATAAGTATCTCTCGCACCTTCTGACGAAAAGGACTGCGGACTGACATGTTCGCACACCTGCACAAACGAATAATACTTGAAAACGACTTTTCTATTCTTCGAGTAAAAGTATTATCTTACAACGTTGCGCATTAAAATTTTGTGCGTAATGCTAGAGCAGAAGGTTACAGAAAAGTTGTTTTTTCTTCCTGCCAGGGCAGCATAATTTTACATAGCAAAAGTTTCAGTTTCAAATGAAAAGGGCGTAAATCAGCTCACGTTGTAGCAGCTGTAAAAGCCTTATTACCTTGCTGCTCTGACAACTAGAATCTACAATCTGTGATCGGCATAAATTTCTCTCTTCGAAAGTTTGTCGTTAGCGTTGTAAAACTCGATCGGATTTACCACCGTCAAAAAAATCTTGACTAACATTTTCTTCTAGATGGCAAGAGCACTTAATAGAGTGAGACAGAAAAGAAAACGGTGGCCGAGATGTTTGAAGGACTAGATGTGGACTCATGAACACTGTCTAAAAAGGCAAATCACCACTCGCTAGGTACTGCTCCATCGTTTCTCCAACACATTTCTTATAGCAATAATCTGTCGTCTGCGTCCTCTGTCAAAAAAGGTCGAAGATCGTGCAGTTTGAACAGTTGCATTTACAGAAACCAAAAAGGTACCGTTTTCGCTAACACTATTTGCCATCATCAAATCTCAATTGACGCAACTATGGAATATGCGCTTCCAACGTGACATTGCTTCTAGCAAAAACAAATTGTCAAAACGAAGGAAAGCCCAATTGAGACGCATTATATTCGACTATCACACAAAAGATTTGACTCAGGTATATTCAACGTGTCTTGGACGCAGTCTGACTGACGGAACAATTAACTTTGGAGGGCTTCAACGGATCGCAAACTTTGCGAATTCGTCCACAGTTTTCAAGCCATCACGACTGTAGACAATTCGCACACCAAAATTTGCAGAAGGATTGTTAGGGTTATTAGCGGTCTTCGAAATCCACTCTACTTGTTTGCTTGCACGAGTCCTCGGCATACATTTCATGGACAAACCTTTGTAGTTGTAAGATCATTAGTAATGTTCGCTGTTCTTTCAATGGGCCAATCACAGCTTGTCGGCAGTTGCTCTAGGTTTTAATCATAATAAACAGCTTCTTTGCTTTTGGCAATGCATTGGCAGAACCTCCTTCGGTTCAATCACTCAATTTTGTGTCAACACCGAGCTGATAAAAGCAGATTCCGACGTTGACGGCAATTGAACTTAAGAAATGCTAGCACTCCAACAAAAAATAGACAAAGAAGGCTTTCAAATGGTAGGTGTTTCATTTTAATTACAATTTCCGCGCTAGGCTCGCGTCACTGCCTGCGTCCACCTTTTCCACTTTTGGCACTTGGGGAACGTACTGAACATAACAGGATGTGGAAGGTGTCGAGCACAGACCTATTGATGTTGCAGCCTCAGTTGATCAGATTCAGTGTGTGCTTGGATGGCCGACAACTCAGCTTTCAGCAGGAAGTTCGGAGTTGGGAATGTGCTCGAGAAGCACATGGACTGCTATGTCACCAGTAAGGGGTTTGCCAAGTAGAAACATGACATCTATAAATGCAGAAATAAACCCGAACTAGCCGCCTTAGTCAGAAGTCGCTTTCATTATGTCATTTCGACGACCAAATTCTGCTCTGTCTACCGTTTTCGTTGAATGGATTTGTTTTATGCGTTTAATTTAATACTGCATCAACATATGACACTCACAAAGGTCACGAAGTGGATCTAAGGAATCAAATTTTAAGTAGCAGTCAAGAAGATGAATGATACTATGCTCAACGTACTTATAGTGAACGCATAAATCCACATCAAGCCAAACCACTCGTAATCCCGTTATAAAAAAAAATCGACGAATTTGCAGCATAGTATGGCTAGCTCATGCTGCTGTAATCCAGTTTTCAGCTTCTTTATCATGGGCATAGCTATGGGGTTCCCCTAACTCAAGTAAGTCCATATCACGTGTGACTTTCAACAATAGGTCTGAAGCTTCTGATAAAGCTTGTGCTAAGTTACAACTCTGCTGACTGAGATGGAGCCAAATTGTACTTCAAATTCGAGAATCACTGTGAATTTTTAGTGACGGTCCCTACACAAAATTTAGAATTAGAAATTCGGTCTAGGCAAGACTCTTGTATGGGCAAGTCTATCGAATGCACGGATCTGCAGATCAGTGCTTGTTTAATAAAGTAATTGATGAGCACCGCTGCAAGTTCCGAATTCGAGTGTGTTGTGACAGAAGCAGCAACGCAATTTTTAGAGCCAAAGGAGAAAGAATTGGCGCTGAAGAACTATATTTGGGTGAAAAATACAAGGAGATATCGGAATTTATGCGGTTACTCTTATTTTATACTAGCTGGCATACCCGGCTCCGCCGTATGTTCCGAATAGAAAATTCCATTTCTTAACCGATCCGAACCAAACTTGGCACACATACACTTCGGGCCCCGGCAGGTGTCACAGTCCACTTTTCGTTATCGATTGATGTAGATTTTATCGATTTTTTGCAAAATTTGAGCTAGGGGGCTGGGATTTGGCACAGTGGGGTAATCGAGCATGCTGATCACCCCCACGGGGATGATCAGCATGCTCGATTACCCCCCTGTGCCAAATCCCAGCCCCGTAGCTCAAACTTTGCAAAAAAATCGATAAAATCGATAAAAGTAATGCACGATTTTAAAAACTAATATTGTATTCGGAATCCCCATGCTCACTTACCCCTCTGTGCCAACTCCCAGCCCCGTAGCTCAAATTTTGCAAAAAATCGATAAAATCGATATCGATCGATACGAAAAGCAGCCTATGACACCCGCCGGGGCCCGAAGTGTATGTGTGCCAAGTTTGGTCCCGATCGGTCCAGAAATGGAATCTATTCGGAACATACGTACACACAGACATACAGACATACATACAAACAGACATTCAGCTTTATATATAAGATTAAACCATGAATGAAGTTACAAGTCTTTTTGTTTACGTGGGCAATTCTCCTTTGCCGGCCCTGCTAGAAAAAGCTTTCGGCATATGTCTGGCGACATCGCGTGAAACATGATAGTATCGAGACCAATGCTGCTTCTGCAACATCTTCTGTTTCTTTTGATCCCGCTAAATTCGTAGACCCTGGGAAGCTA